CGACAATTGCCCATTTTCATGTAAACGAGAAAACCAAAACAAGACACTATGAAAAACATAATTACACTATGTCTGGAGGACCCCTTGTTGACGGCGTACATAGTAGTGGTATTGTCTGCATATACGATCATACGCTTCCCTGACCATAGGTGACCCCAACGACGAGCAGCTGATAATACCACTGCAGCAGTTTCCTTCACGTTGATACGTTCCCTTGCCACGAGAGGAAATTCACTTTTCTATTAAAAACAGAGATAATTTGTATCCATCGTGTGAGGTCTTCAAAACAATCGGAGGAAAGAATCACTTTATGAGCTCCCTTAGCACAAGGAGTGATGAATGACAACATACGTCTGAGGAAGGTACGCCCACCTCGGACCACAGTGCTAGCCCAGTTTATTTTTCGGACCACAGTGCTAGCCCAGTTTAGTTTTCGGACCACAGTGCTAGCCCAGTTTAGTTTTCGGACCACAGTGCTAGCCCAGTTTAGTTTTCGGACCACAGTGCTAGCCCAGTTTAGTTTTCGGACCACAGTGCTAGCCCAGTTTAGTTTTCGGACCACAGTGCTAGCACAGTTTAGTTTTCGGACCACAGAGCTAGCCCAGTTTAGTTTACCACACAGGCTTGCAGTTGTTTAACACTACATCTTTTCCTATCAACAAATGTATGCAACAATGCACGGAATTCCTTCAACTTTGTTTGAGCCACACTCAGAGAGAGCTCATGTGTATTGATCTCAATTCCTAAACACACTAATCGCCGAGTCGGATCCTCAACTTTTCTCAGGCTGAAATGCAATCCCAGTTGACGCAAGGTCCTTAGAAGGAGACGAAGCGCGCGACTACACTTCTCGAAGTCATTTTCAATTATCAAGAACTCGTCCAGTTAGGCTATAACGGTGACGATGATTTTTTTAAGCATTATATCACAGACTGACGAACTAAGTGTTTTAAATATACTTGGGCTGCGATAGTGGCCAAAGAGGAGCTTAACGTCATACAAATATGTTGGGATTTTATCCCAACTGAAAGTCCACTTAAGCCCAGTGAGAGCATATTCGGCACTGTGAGTCTATACGAATCAGTAGGCGCTCTTCAAGTCTAATTGGCCTAGTATCAATTAGGCTTAATGAGTTTTAAGGCACAACGCAAATCCATATATGACCAGCTGTCGTCCGATGTGTAAGAGTTAAGACTTCCATTCCCAGGCATGCTGGAATCATGAATAAGCCGAATATCACCATTTGGTTTTTCGATAGCTCCAAACGCACTAACAGTAGTTGTTTTTTCTTTGGTAACCACATTATTTCCAAGTTCAATTTCAGTCTTTATCTGTTTTTCTACTAAAACCCTAAATTTGGATGTAGTATTGTAATTTTCACATTCCACCTGCTTATAAGGCCCATACACTGTTGTGAGACGAAAGCCATGATTTACTCCATCCAGTATCCATTCCCTATCAGGGTAGTCTATAAGTAAAAGGTCCTCGCACGCGTTTGGTAGTAGGCGATTGCTGCCAGTATTGGAAGGGGTGTAATCTCAACATTTACTCGCGATCGGGGACCCCGTTTTTTGAGACATCCTGCTTTCGGAATTTAGGATGACCAGTGGATGAGTGGTCAGCATCCATACACACAGCACAAACGTGTGCCATTTTACAGTTCGATTTGAAGCATTTGTCCGCATTAAAATTGCGATATATCTCCTGACCAATAGTTAGGAATCGGCTACACCGCCGATCTTGTGTTGGAATGATCCCGATGCATATGACTTAGCCTCTTGGATAGTTTTATTTGTAGGACTGTCAGCTTTGAGAATGAGATTTAAGTCCATTAAGTCCTGATGATGGGTTCCCCACTGGAACCCCTCTGTCACCTGTAGCTCTCGGAACTTCCGGTCATAAAGTAATACACTAAGCCACACATACTTAGACGCTAGCCGAAAAATCGTAGCTGAGTAATTAAAATAGTCGACGGAATTAGAGAGGGTTCCGTCCTGAAATAACTTGTTCATTATTCTTATGTTTGCATAGCCCCATTGCTCGATAGTCACCTTGTCTAATGCTTTTTGTTTCCCGATCCTGAATTCCACATAATCACCCATAGTTACAGTCTCAAACGCCAGATATAGTCAACTATTTTGAGGGCTTTTACATCACTGAGCTTTAGAACATCAATACCAATGGGCCTCGACTTATTGTTCTCACCTGTTGCCCCTTGGATTGCATCCGTTGCTAACGAGGTAGACCGGGGTCCGTCCGCTCCGGTCACGATGGAAGACATGGCGGCCATCTTGCCGTTAGTAATTTCCCGTAGCTTTTCTCTTTCCTCCTCGATTTGAGCACGGATTTCTGCTTACCGTCTCGCCGTCTTGATCTGTTCCAATTGTATGGTTAGTTGGTGTAACTCATCATCAGACAGGGCAACTGCGGGTTTATTTGTTTCGTAAACCTCGCTCTCACACACGATGGCCTCAGGGTCATCGTCCTGCTCCTGAATGGAATCATGGAAAGCATCCGTTTCTTCTCCTGTTCCAGACTCTTCCGTAATAGCTTGGATGATGTCTGTCATTCTTGAACCAGCATTCCCACGTCTAGGTCTCGATGCCATCACTCTGGAAAAAACTAGGTAGGCCATCCGCTGGTCACAAGCAAGCACATGGCACTGATATTCAAAACGAGGCCGCGTTACAAGCAATATAAGCAAAGCTATCAAAATACGAAAATAATCCAGGGTGGCGAAAACACTATCTAAAATTAAATTTACAAGTAAATAACACTTTGACGTGTGGATAGACTGGAACCCTTTGGAAGGGAAATCCATGTCCCGATTGGATAATTTAAATCCGGTCAAGCCCATGGCTAAGGCGATTCTTAAAACTTTTACGAGACATTATAATCGCCTACAGTGTAAGTCATCTAAGTAATAGCTGTCTGATTACCGAAATCAAGATGATAGAAAGAAAATGTGTGTCGGATTTCCCTGATTTTCACCGTCTGCGTTGGCCTGGTTTTATTTTGGTCGTGGACATGTGAAATCTGAAGAAGATGACTTTCCTTATAAAGAACTAATGCAAAGTAGCAATAGTCAGCATTTTAGTTTGGTCATGTACGTCTGAACCCCTATTCCTGAGGTCAGCCTCGGCTCGGTTCAGATCTGAGCCAGTCGTTTTCTTTTCATGTTCAGCTGGTTGAAACGGTTGATACGCGAAATGGGCATAGAGGTGAACTGCATGAGACGTGCCTGGCCGAAACTTAAATGCAGAATCTTGCTTATTTGCAATATTTCTGCGTAAAGCAAGATTGATTCACATTAATGTTTCTTTCGGAAAATGTTATGAAATTTAGTGCATGCACGAGGAGCATCTTCATCCCCGTGTATATTAATCTTGATGTATATTTATATTTGTCACAAAACTCCGAATTTGTGTTTTTTTCATTGGCTCTGCCTGTAAGTTCGACACAGAGCAATCGTTTATTGTGGAATATGCGCCATCTGAACCGTTTCAATCGGGATGTGCGAAAGCAACCCAATTTAAGACCAGTCCTCTTCCTCATATACATCAACGACTTCCCCGAATACATATCACACAGTACACTAAGACTTTTCGCAGATGACAGCATACTATACAAAACAATCAACAACAAAGACGAGACGACAAAACTACAAGCAGATTTTGATGCAGCTAGTAAATGGGAAGAGGACTGGCTCATGAAATTCTACCCAGACAAATGCACCATACTCACCACATCACCAAAACGCACACAAATTAAACACCTGTAACTTCAAACAAATATCTAGGCATCACACTTCAAAACAACTTAAAATGGGACAAACACATTAACAACATCACATCAAACGCAAATAAATCACTAGGCATTCTGAAACGCAACCTAAAAATAAATTCACCGCACATAAAAGAACATGCATACAAGGCCATTGTAAGACCTAAACTTGAATACTGCTCTTCAGTTTGGGACCCACATTATACAAATAACATAAACCAATTAGAAAAAGTACAATGAAGAGCAGCACGATATGTCCTAAACAAATACCATAACACAAGCTCAGTCACAGATATGATACACAACTTGCAATGGCCAACACTACACACACGCAGAACAAGAACACGTATTATTCTTCTCTACAAAATAATACACTAACAAGTAGCAATACGCACTAACAATCTCATCCCGGCAGACACCAGAACACGTCAAGGACACGACCGTAGTTACAGACATATCTACACATCCAAAGACACGTACAGACACTCATTCTTTACATACACCATAATACAATGGAACCACCTACCCACAACAATAATTCAATCAAATGCACTAGTAGAATTCAGGACAAGCACCACATACAACATAATCGAACATATACAAAACCTACAACATAACTAACACTCAATCACTGCTTTTAACCTGTTTATATCCTATAGCAAATAACAAAAAAAAAAAAAATCAAAAAAATCACTGTACATAATTAACGCACAATAGCACAACGACCCTACTTCCGTAATCGTCGGTATCGACGGAGGAAGTCTAACAGATGAACATGATGAAGATGAAGGTCCATATATATATGTAGCTCCGAAAATATTCCCCGAGAGACTCACCTGGACTGCACATTGGCCAACAATATACGTGGCCACAGTTTCTTACATTTCTTTTCTTCAAATAAATGAAATTAAAAAAAAAAAAACACAAGAAATGACAGCTACTTTTTCCTGGGTTCTTAATTTAATAACAAATTTCAAAAACTAAATGTAAATGTTTAGTAGATATACTTTAAATGACAACAGACCTTGTGGTTCGAAGGGAAGTAACTCAATCGCTATATAAAAAAAAATTCAAGTAAAGTGATGCTTTTTATTTCATAAATATGCAACGTTTAATTCGTATTTCTATTTTACTTTTAGATAGGAAGGAAATGGTCGCGGTGAGATGTAGAAGGTCTCAGCATACATTCCTGATAGATAGCTATAGGCCGGTACCAAGTTCTGTATTAGACGAAAGTCGACCCAACGTTTGAAATCATGATCACTGTCATTAAGATCTTGGAAGCAGTCGGGATGAAAGAAGGAGGCGAGTGACTTTATTTACATTGTAAATTCAGGTACCGACAAAAGATACTACGCTTGCATATTTATTTACTTTTTATTTAAAGAAGTTTCTAGAATCTTGTATTAAGGTATTTGAGGTGAACGAAACGTATGCATTACTATACAATAAAGACCATTAGTGTTTTATACGTGTCTCCAGTTTTGACGGATTTATACTTCATGTTCCTCAGCAGCTTTACTTTATCCACATGTTTTTAGGTATAGTACTCTAATACTCCATTGCAGATTTCCGTGAACAATGAGTAAGATATTGAAGCGGCTAAGTGTCCTTGAGTTTCCGGAGTCATCTCGTATAGCACTCCAGTACCTGACATCATGCTTCACATCCTCATCAGGAGGGGCTATTCCTGGACTGGGAGGGGGAGCCGAGAACTTTGCAGTGGAAGTCAGCCAGGATTATGTATTATTCAAGTCAGCAACTGGCAGAACAAGAGGGCCACAAAAGGTAGTTAATGGGAAATCCTGGAATTTGAGAGCAGTGGGCCATTTCAGTAATTTTTAGTTAATATCAAAATTATATTTTAAGAGAGGCCATCCTATGTAAAATTAAAAGAAAATTGGAACATACGAGGGATCAATTTCAGTTTTGAGGGGTCAATGTCCCCCTCCAGGATTATCCCTGGTAGTTAACATATAAGTTCTGATTGAAATTTGTAGGTTTGCAGGACTTAATACATACACGGTTAGGACCTAGCTAATGACTTATTTAATATGCAAATATTATTAACTAATATCTTGTTATATAAGGTAAAAGGGTTCTTGTTCCATCACAGAGAAAGTATTAATAAACATGGAACTCCCTCAGATTTGGAAGAACCCTGTTGAATATTTGTCTTGAATTTTTACTTATAACAGAAACTGAATGCCATTCAGGAGCTCCAACTACTTGAGATGGTGTGCAGTTGCCTGCAAGGGGCACCACAGAGCTCTAGGTTCAGTATCTTCAGTGTGATCTTTGGTGGAAGTATTGAGGTGGCAAAAACCACTCTCCTCACAAAATTGGTATCAATGGCCCTCTCTATTGGAAGTGGAGCAGTACTTGACTGTGCTGCTCTTTGGATGCAGGTAATTAATATAAGTGTTCTCGGAGTAGATTTTCACCTCCATAGTGTGTCCAGGTTAGAGCTTATATACATGGTACTCACTGGAGACATGCAAATTTAATGTTTTACAAAAGTTCTTATACTTACTATATAAAGGAGAATGTCTCAATGTGATTCATGAAACTTCATCAACACAATCCTGTGTGAATTTTGAAAATTTTTATATAAAAAAGATTAGCTAAGTGGATTACTCTATGGTTTTCCAGGAGCAGGGTTGTCATAGCAGCACTGTGTGTGACCTGGTACAGCGACTGGTGGAGGATTACTGCCTGCTGTTCCCAGAGATAAGCAACACCTTCCAAACACTGCCCAGTGTCTCACCTCTCTTCACCTGTAACTTCATCACAGCTGTTGCCACCATATATCCATTTCATGGTATATTCTTTTTAGTAATTGTTGGTACTGAGAATAACATGCTTGGTAATACCATTTCATGGTATATTCTTTTTAGTAACTGTTGGTACTGAGAATAACATGCTTGGTAATACACATAAAGTTGAACTATGTGTATAATACACGCAACAGTTATATATAAAGTAAATTATTTAATGAAAAATTGGTTGATACATCTCTCAAAAGTACACATTGTAATACACTTATTGCCTTATGGTCATTTTGTATTCATCAGATATTTTAATGTTCTGTTATAGATCATATATGTATACCATAACAATGTCACTGCGTAAGTAGGGCAAGTCCTTGGTCTAGTGGTATAACTTTTCATTCACTCGAGATTAGTCAAATCCATAACTGTAATTGAGTGAGATTGAGTTATCTCAGTTTGAGGGCTATGATTCTGTAACATAATCCCAACCATGACACAGGCAGAGATTGGGCTGTTACAGAATCTAAGTCGGGACTGAGATTTCATTTACTCTCATATCCAGTCATGGAAGAACAGGCTGGCCATGTAAGATAGCCATGCTTGCTTGCTGAGTCTATCTCGCATGGACGTGACGTCACAATGAAACACTGATGCCGCAATGCGGAAAAGACAATGAGATGAATTTGAAACCTTTTACGATATATTTACTGTACACGTTAGAAAGATGAGATTATTTTTTCTGCGAGGGCGAGATGGGGGATCTCACACTGAGGAGGAAGATTCTATTGCTGTCAAACACTCGAAAAGCTTTGAATTTGGTAAAATCCTCCCCTTCAGGTTGAGATACCTCATCCCATTCCAAAGGGCTTTAAAGATTCTATTATTTAATCACAGAGCAGAGCCAGTCTGAATGCTATAAATAAATATCTTATTCTTATACATGTATGTGATTAAAGTATTTTTTCTTCTGTAGAAATATCTCGGGCACCCCCCGCCATCCTGTTGGACTACATCACAAGCTGGGTGTCTGGTGATCCATGTCTGTGTTCGGAGTCTGTCCGACTTGTTCGCATTCAGGCCAGTTTCTCATGCCCATTCTTTGGACTAGTGCAGTGGTGCACTTTAGGACAAATTCTATGCACAACGCAATGTGAACCAGATTTGCAATCAAATAACAAACTACACAGTGATAAGACAAAGACATTCTCGTTGCTTTCCAAGCTACATTTCAGCATCTTACAGAGCTTTCAAGCTTACAAGAGCATGGAACTTAACCAGGAACTTTTCCACATGTCACATTTCCTGTCCATAGCCAGGGAGCTTGTCCGACTTTACCAGCTCAATAAAGACAAGATACAGGAGGAGGAATTTCAAACCTTAGTCGATCGACTGGGACAGATAATCCAGGTTGCTATAGTGACCGGTGGATTGAAACTATCGAGTAAGTACAACGAAAATTTTAGTCACTCCTGATAGTAATTTCAAAAATGAAAACTTCATGAAAGTTTGCTTCAGAAAAAAATGTGTATGATCATCCTTACTGACAAATTGATTTTGATATTTAGGTATGATTTTACACAGTGATTACCAAATAAACATGTCCTGTACACGTGTAAGGATCTTTACAAAATAGCTATTTATTTGGTATAAATAACGATAACGCTGTCAATTCAAAATAAATTTCATATGTATATCGTTTCACACAGTGAATATGTAAAACAAGGACAGTCATCCTTTCTGGCCCTGTATAGGATTTACTTGTGCATTGACACTGCAAATATAGGTGTCCTTTGTCAGTAAATAAACTGTAAAAGTCCATGATACTCACTCTAGGCATTAGCTCAAATTTTATTTTTGTCACATGAGTCATTGCTAGATTAACGTACTAGGTATTATACAAGTCCCGTTAGAGTCATTGCTAAGGGCCAAGTGAGCCTATAGCTATGCTGTGGTGCGTCTGTCCGGTGTCAACTTTTTCTAAACAACTTCTGACTTCTCAATAACCAAGAGGCCTAGGGTGATGGTATCTGGCTAGTAGGAAGATAGGATGAAGGACTACCAAGTTTGTTCAAATGAATGACCTCCACCCATTTTCTAGGTCACAGGGGTCAAATATGTTAAAATATTTCAACAACAACTTCTGAATTTCCAGAAGGCCCAGTATGATGATATGTGGCCAATGACATGCTGGGTTTGAAGGGCAACCAAGTTTGTTCAAATGAATGACCTTCGCTCATTTTCAAGATCACTGGGTTCAATTATCTTAAAAAACCCTTTCAAACACCTTCTGAATAACCAAATGGTCCAAGGTGAAGATATTTGGCCAGAAACATGCTTGCATGAAGGGCTACAAAGTTTGTTCAAATGAATTACGTATATACCTTGACCTATATTCAAGGTCACAGGAGTCAAATATGTTTAAAACCTATATACAACTTCTTCTGAATAACCAAAAGGTCCAGGATGATGCTATTTGGCCAGTAAGATGCTGGGATCAAGGGCTACCAAGTTTGTTCAAATGAATGAACATGACTTATATTCAAGGTCACAGGGGTCAAATATGTTTTAAACCTTTAGCAACATCTTCTGAATAACGATAGGGCCCAGAATGTTGATATCTGGCCAGAAGCATGCTTGGATGAAGGGCTACCAAGTTTGTTTTTACCTCGTTGGACTTTAATAGTCACAGGGGTCAAATGTGTTAAAATCTTTAAACAGGTTGTTTGGAGTGATTTATAGTCATAAATACTAATATTTTATATGTAGCTTTATTTTGATACACTTTTAAGGTTAGAAGTTTGAGATTTATACCAGGTGAGCGATGCAGGCCCATTGGGCCTCTTGTAACATACTAGGTATTATACAAGTCACCGGAAAGTCATTGCCATATTAACGTACTATGTATTACACAAGTCACCTGACTATATTTACTATATTTCACCTATCAGGTAATGCGCTAATTTACATTTTTACAGGTGGTAAAGAAATCCTTACACTGTGTGAAATCTTACCCCAGAACAGGTTTGTACAATTCTCATACATGTACTTGGAATTTAAATTAAACCACTAATTATTAATGTCATTTAGTACCGTTTTATAAATAATGCTTGAAAAAAATCTTTAAATATTTTACCTGGTAGTAAACATTTTGATAATATAAAGAATATTGATCATTGGGAGGAAAATAAGTTTTGTAAAAAAGTATAAATCATGTTCCGTGAAAACTTTTCTTACTTAGATATTAAATCTGACTTCTTTCAGATTACTGCAGATCATAGCCAGACCATGGACCACTCAACCGATGGACACATCATGATTACTACCACACATAAACTGCCTTTGTACATATTTATTTCTATATTTCTGTGCATAATAAATAAATTTTGATAAAAACCTTAATTACTTGACTTGTGTTTTTGGATCATGTATATTGCATTTGCATACCCATTAAATAGGAAAACTTTCAACAGTAATGCAATAGAAAAATTTCACTTATTTTTGTTTTCAGTAGAGTACATTTAATTCTTATGTTTTAGATTCAATCAAACACAATATCAGGGAGTTACGATTGTATACTTTTCGACAGTAAATCATCAATACATGGCCATCATCTGTCCTACAGATTTCTGATACCTATGTTGATAGTATGTTCAAACTGTTAAGGGTAATGGGACCTTGACCTTGAAATATGTTGGCAGTAAGCAAAGTGGCACACAAAATGAGGGTCATTATAACCATGTTTTACTTAACTTCATCTTGAAGTTGTAAAAATGTTATTTACAGATATGTTTGCATTTACTACCTTACAGACAATTATTTTGTTTTGTTTCTGCTGTATTGACTGAATCTAAAGTTGTTGGGGTTTTTTAACTACAGATTACTGGCATTACAAAGTGTAGCATGATTTATTAGAAACTTTTCTCCCAACATTCTTTAGGTACGTCATGTACCATTAATTTCTGAAACCGTGATCTGTTACTTCCATAATCAACTGTACATTAGGATCAGGTTGTATATAACGTCAGTGTTTCTGGAACGTTTATATCCATGCCTACATATCACAGCATGACCCAAAGTGTGTCACAACCATCACCATAGATCATATCTCCAAAAGAAAGCTGATGGAGTATGGACATCTAAAGTGGGTGTCTTTAATAGTTTGATCTTTATACCTTCACAGATTTGTTGTCCATAATCTAAGAGACACAAGCTTAACCCAAAGTAATGCCTGTAGTGCAATGGACATCTAAAACAAGTGTCCTAGCCATAACTGTACTTTCAGCTCTGAGTGCTCTGGCCACAACCCTTTAGCCGAGTATCCAAGCCATAACCCTGTACCCTTTGGCTGAGTGTTCCAGCTATAACCCTGTACCCTTTGGTTGAGTGTCCAGACCATATCCCTGTACTCTTTGGTAGAGTGTCCAGACANGGCTAAATGTCCTGACCCTAACCCTGTACCCTTTGGCTGAGTGTCCCAGCTATAACCCTGTACCTTTTGGCTGAGTGTCCCAGCTATAACCCTGTACCCTTTGGCTAAATGTCCTGACCCTAACCCTGTACCCTTTGGCTGAGTGTCCAGACCATGACTCTGTACCCTTTGGCTGAGTGTCCAGACCATAATTGTGTACCATTTGGCGGAATGTCCAGACCATGACTCTGTACTCTTTGGCAGAGTGTCCAGACCATGACAATGTACCCTTTGACTGAGTATCCAGACCATGACTCTTTACCCTTTGTCTGAGTGTCCAGACCATGACTCTGTACCCTTTGGCGGAGTGTCCAGACCATAATTGTGTACCCTTTGGCGGAGTGTCCAGACCATGACTCTGTACCCTTTTGCGTAGTGTCCAGACCATAACTCTGTACCCTTTAGCGGAGTGTCCAGACCATGACTATGTACCATTTGGCAGAGTGTCCTGACCTTGACAATGTACCCTTTGGCTGAGTGTCCAGACCATAATTCTGTACCATTTGGTGGAGTGTCCAGACCATGACTCTGTACCATTTTGCTGAGTATCCAGACCATAACTATGTACCCTTTGGTTGAGTGTCCAGACTATGACTCTGTACCCTTTGGCGGAGTGTCCAGACCATGACTCTGTACCCTTTGGCAGAGTGTCCAGACCATGACTCTGTACCCTTTGGCGGAGTGTCCAGACCATGACTCTGTACCCTTTGGCGGAGTGTCCAGACCAAGACTCTGTACCCTTTGGCGGAGTGTCCAGACCATAACTATGTACCCTTTGGCGGAGTGTCCAGACCATAACTATGTACCCTTTGGCGGAGCGCCCCAGACCATAACTGTGTACCCTTTGGCAGAGTGTCCAGACCATAACTCTGTACCCTTTGGCGGAGTGTCCAGACCACGACTCTGTACCCTTTGGCGGAGTGTCCAGACCATAACGCTGTTCCCTTTGGCTTGATCTAGATCATACTTCACAGCAATGTTACTTATGACTCAAGACTTACATGTACGTTGCAACCTTTGTCCCAAGATTACATCTCCGAACATAAAGGTCATAGAGCATGTAGATCAAAATAATTGCCCATGGCATATAAACCATCATCAAATGATGCAGTTTGTCCCCTATTTTACCATGATAGCTCAGTGTTTAGAGCAAGAGGAGGACATATTTTTTAAATTGGTTGGATCTTAAAGGTATCCTTTAGTGTGGCATAGACAGGTCCGTTTTCAATTTTCAACATTCTTAAGCTATTCTCTCTTGCAAGACATGTCGGGAATACTCAAGTACATGATTTAGTATTTGAATGAAAAGAAAAAAGATGATTAATTTCATATTTTATTGTATTTAAAATAATGGTAACATAACAATTAATATGGTCTGAATCGTCTTGATGCTTTCATCAGAGCAATTCGCTGTTTGTCTTCCTCAAACTTCTGCCTCAATTCGGCTATTTCTGTGGAGGAATCAAAGTAAAATAATGAATCTATGCACATGAACACTTCTTCTGATGTTAACTGTATACATAACATTTTAATATAAATATATAATTATGAACTGGAGATAGACATCTTTGATAATAGTTGAACTGTTTTCAAATGAAATTCTATTTCAGATTTCAATTGGATTTGATGAACTTGACTCTCGAGACATACATAAGAATATCCTTAGATATATCGGGGGATTTTTTCTTGTCACTATTAGAATATTTAAATAAAAACAAAACTTACGCTCCCTCTTTGTTTCCCTGATTTGGAAAGAATAGAAATTCAGCAGCTCCTACAAAGGTAAGAAAAACAGTGTTTTAAATGTAAGTTCATCTCCTCATAATGTATCAATGGCACACATGTTAATGTGTGTATAAAATACTACATGTACCTCACACATATGTTAACGTGTGTATAACATACTACATGTACCTCACACACATGTTAACGTGTGTATAAAATACTACATGTACCTCACACATGTTAACGTGTGTATAAAATACTACATGTACCTCACACATGTTAACGTGTGTATAAAATACTACATGTACCTCACACATGTTAACGTGTGTATAACATACTACATGTACCTCACACATGTTAATGTGTGTATAAAATACTACATGTACCTCACACACATGTTAACTTGTGTATAACATACTACATGTACCTCACACTTATGTTAACGTGTGTATAACATACTACATGTACCTCACACACATGTTAACGTGTGTATAAAATACTACATGTACCTCACACATATGTTAACGTGTGTATAAAATACTACATGTACCTCACACTTATGTTAACGTGTGTATAACATACTACATGTACCTCACACATATGTTAACGTGTGTATAAAATACTACATGTACCTCACACATGTTAATGTGTGTATAAAATACTACATGTACCTCACACACATGTTAACGTGTGTATAAAATACTACATGTACCTCACACATATGTTAACGTGTGTATAACATACTACATGTACCTCACACATATGTTAACGTGTGTATAAAATACTACATGTACCTCACACATGTTAATGTGTGTATAAAATACTACATGTACCTCACACACATGTTAACGTGTGTATAAAATACTACATGTACCTCACACATGTTAATGTGTGTATAAAATACTACATGTACCTCACACACATGTTAACGTGTGTATAAAATACTACATGTACCTCACACATGTTAATGTGTGTATAAAATACTACATGTACCTCACACACATGTTAACGTGTGTATAAAATACTACATGTACCTCACACATGTTAATGTGTGTATAAAATACTACATGTACCTCACACACATGTTAACGTGTGTATAAAATACTACATGTACCTCACACATATGTTAACGTGTGTATAACATACTACATGTACCTCACACATATGTTAACGTGTGTATAAAATACTACATGTACCTCACACATATGTTAACGTGTGTATAAAATACTACATGTACCTCACACATATGTTAACGTGTGTATAAAATACTACATGTACCTCACACATATGTTAACGTGTGTATAAAATACTACATGTACCTCACACATATGTTAACGTGTGTATAAAATACTACATGTACCTCACACATATGTTAACGTGTGTATAAAATACTACATGTACCTCACACATATGTTAACGTGTGTATAAAATACTACATGTACCTCACACATATGTTAACGTGTGTATAAAATACTACATGTACCTCACACATATGTTAACGTGTGTATAAAATACTACATGTACCTCACACATATGTTAACGTGTGTATAAAATACTACATGTACCTCACACATATGTTAACGTGTGTATAAAATACTACATGTACCTCACACATATGTTAACGTGTGTATAAAATACTACATGTACCTCACACATATGTTAACGTGTGTATAAAATACTACATGTACCTCACACATATGTTAACGTGTGTATAAAATACTACATGTACCTCACACATATGTTAACGTGTGTATAAAATACTACATGTACCTCACACATATGTTAACGTGTGTATAAAATACTACATGTACCTCACACATATGTTAACGTGTGTATAAAATACTACATGTACCTCACACATATGTTAACGTGTGTATAAAATACTACATGTACCTCACACATATGTTAACGTGTGTATAAAATACTACATGTACCTCACACATATGTTAACGTGTGTATAAAATACTACATGTACCTCACACATATGTTAACGTGTGTATAAAATACTACATGTACCTCACACATATGTTAACGTGTGTATAAAATACTACATGTACCTCACACATATGTTAACGTGTGTATAAAATACTACATGTACCTCACACATATGTTAACATGTGTATAAAATACTACATGTACCTCACACATGTTAACATGTGTATAAAATACTACATGTACCTCACACATATGTTAACGTGTGTATAAAATACTACATGAACCTCACACATGTTAATGTGTGTATAACATACTACATGTACCTCACACACATGTTAACGTGTGTATAACATACTACATGTACCTCACACATATGTTAATGTGTCTATAACATACTACATGTACCTCACACATATGTTAACGTGTGTATAACATACTACATGTACCTCACACACATGTTAACGTGTGTATAAAATACTTCATGTACCTCACACCCATGTTAACTTGTGTATAAAATACTACATGTACCTCACACACATGTTAACGTGTATATAAAATACTACATGTACCTCGCACACATGTTAACGTGTGTATAACATCCTACATGTACCTCACACATATGTCAACGTGTGTATAAAATACTAGATGTACCTCACACATATAATAACGTGTGTATAAAATACTACATGTACCTCACACATATAATAACGTGTGTATAAAATACTACATGTGCCTCACACATATGTTAACATGTATAAAATACTACATGTACCTGATTAAAATTGGAAAACATACTTTTTAGCTCACCTGGCCCGTAGGACCAAGGTGAGCTTATGCCATAACGTGGCGTCCGTCCGTCGTCTGAATGTCAACAATTTCTTCTAGCAACTTTTTCTTCTTAACCACTTAACTTGGAATTTGACTAAGTTTGCCTGGAAGCATCCCTAGGTGGTGGGGATTCAAAATTGTACAAATGGTTGGGCTGACCCCCCAGGGGGCTGAGGAGTGGGGCCAAAAGTGGGCAATTTGGCCATATTGGTTAAAGTGACTTCTTCTCTTGAACTAAGAGATTGACATCAACCATATTTGACTGGAGCATCCCTAGGTAGTGGGGATTCAAAAATATACAAATGGTGGGGCTGACCCCCCAGGGTGTTGAGGGGCTGGGCCAAAAGGGGGAAATTTGGCTTTATTGCTATAAACGACTTATTCTGTAGAACTATACACTGGATATAAATCATATTTGGTCAGAAGCATTCATGGGAGGTGGGTATTCAAAATTGTACAAATAGTGGGGCTGACCCCCTGGGCTAAGGGGTGGGGCCAAAAATAGTTTATTACTTGGAAATGGTTGAGATCCCCACCCTATAACCATATACACAATTGCTGATTAGAAGAGAAGAATGCACATACATTAATTGTATGCTTCCAGGATGGCCCTGGGAACTGGCTCCACCCTTAGGTCATAAATTTGAAATGGTTGAGATTCCCACCCCAAAACTATATATACCATTGTTGGGCATAAAGAGACAAATGCTGTCATGATATTATAATTGACCCCGGGATCTGCCCCACCCTTGCAAACTTAACCCCTGGGTCACAGCTTGGAAACAGTTGAGATCCCCACCCCATAACCATACATAAACTTGCTGGGCATGAACAATCTAATACAGATATGCTAAAGGTTTGGCCTTAGGGCCTGGCCCATTCCCTTGGATCTTTTTAGGAGAATATTTTGCCATGGTCGCTTAGATATCCAGGTGAGCGATACAGGCCCTCTGGGCCTCTTGTTTATGAAATCTAGAATATACTGACCTATCATAAGGGCTCTCACCGAGTACATACAATCCAGAACCACACACATAACACACCTGTTAAAACTAGACCTTGTATTAATTCTGCAATAAGCATGCAGGCTAACACACAAACTTGGCTCAAAATAGGGGGTGAGGTTAGTTCAGGACAATGATTGACATAGCGTTTGTTAGCCTTACTACTGAGCTGTATAGATAGGGTTCGGCTGTTACCAGGCACGGAATTATTGCTCGATATATATGGTAGGACATGATAACTTGAATTCAGAGAAATTACAATGAGCCATGGTAATAAAAAACACTAGCATTTAGGGGACAGTTTCCAAAACAAAGGTCAGTATATATAGTGAAATATTTTAAGTTCAAATCTCGTTAAACAAAAATAACCTTGTCTTTTCTCTTCTTCTTTTCTCGGGCTGTGACTTTTTTCTCTTGTGACTCCTTCCAGGGAACCCCTTTGTTTTTGCCATGTCTAGTTACTGTCACCCAGCCCTCATCATCAGGCACACCCTCCATATCCTTGGCTTTCTGCTTTTCCTGTACATAAACCACAATTTTGTAATGTCACATACAACTATCAAAATAACGTGAAGGCTTAAATCAAAACAAAAGCAATAACAAGGTGATTTCCTAGTAACCATGATCTCTGAATATTTAGAGATTAATTTCTGGAGATGAATTTTTGTGTTTAACTGTGAAGAGTTAATCACATTTTTAATAAACATACCATGTTTATTCTTGCACATATGTATTTGGGATTTGTAAATTCAGGTTTTTTTCTTCATAATATCATCTACCCAATCTTCGCCACAGATGCCTTATTGCTGTGGTTTTCAGAACTACCTGAAGACTTATTGCTGTGGTTTTCAGATCTACCTGATGACTTATTGCTGTGGTTTTCAGATCTACCTGAAGACTTATTTCTATGGTTTTCAGATCTACCTGATGTCCCCCACAGAAGACTTATTGCTGTGGTTTTCAGATCTACCTGATGTCCCCTACAGAAGACTTATTGCTGTGGCTTTCAGATCTACCTGATGTCCCCCACAGAAGACTTATTGCTGTGGTTTTCAGATTATGATCACCTTAATGACATGAGTCTCACTCTCGACAGTTTAAGATTGTTACATGGACCTTGCTGTGACAGTTACGAACATGATTCTTAATTTTGTAAATATCTTGTGGAGATGCATCTGTGACAATGTATGAGGTTTCATCAGACTACTTTCAGGCATTTAAGAATTATGGCCTGGTTAAGAATTGTACAGACATGACTGACAAGCAACAAAATAAAGAAATATGTTAACATTCATCAATATTAACAGGAAATTCAATATCTATTAAGTCCGCTATTCAGATATAAATATTATTAAATGGATGAACTTGAATGAGTATCACAGATTCCATGGAACTTAACAATAGAAAATACACTTTCCAGACAAAATATCATTTTCCTTGAAATAGTTTTTTTTTCTGTGAACATTACCTCCTCCACACGAGCATCATACTTGGCCATGTAAGTGTCAATCTCCTGTTGCAGATCTTCCTCATTTATCCTCTCCTTCTCGTAATTCTTGCACCACTCTGTGAAATCATTAAAACAATGTTCAGTAACAACGGTTTACTACTTACATTCTTTCTGTGAATTCTTTGTAAGGAATTACCTCGCGACATAAAACTATGAAGAGGGCTAAAATGTACTTTTTTAATAACAGAGCCAAGCTTTTTTCATCCAGCTTCAAGCTGAGTGGCTGGATTGTGAAATGACAAAAAACCTCTCCCAAAAATTTCAGATTTCAAGTCAGACAATCCAACTACATATGTATTTATTTGTTCACTGGAAAACAAAACTCGTCAACACAAAGTCAGTAATGGATTTCTGTATGAAGTACTAATACTAATTCGTACTGTAATAACTTAGACTCTGGTTAATTGAGAATTTCATTATTGATTACTTACTCCCCATGCCTGTGTTTGTACATTTGTGAGGGTTGTCCAATGAAATAACCAGTGGTTTGCTGTATGGAATACTCTTGGCTTTCCCGATAGAATCTGGCCTTTTGAACACAATGTAAGCCACCTTAAATCCCTGTAATGTAATTATAATATACAGATCAGTGACAATCAAAAACAAATATTTCTCATATTTATTGGTAATATACCTGGTACATTTTTACATAATTAAAATCATGAGTCATGATTTTGTTTTCTTAATCAATAATCATATTAATAATATTCGTTTTTTCTTGGTGATTTTGTGTAACTAGTTGTCCAGCATGCATGGGACTTTCTGGTTCACAAGACTATAAAATCACCTAAAAGGTTATTTGAAACAAAGATACAATATTAAATAAGAACAATGTATTATTATCAATCCATAGTCCCTCACCCCCAGAAAAAGTTTGGTACAAATTTTGGCAGATATGGTGTCATGATCAGAGGATGTCTTATAAGATATGGCCTGGACGATGCGACACATGGTGAGGTCTGTTACTTTTATAAAGGCATGACACCTGATCTCTTCCATCCAAACAGGTATCAAATACAAAAGAGCTATTGTAAGTGACATATTGCATACAGCTTTAACTCTCAGTATTATTTTCGACCAAAAATCTATGTCTGTGCAGTGTAAAATTCCTTAGTCAGTTGTGTTTTTCACTATAATGTGACTCTTATGTGGCATGTCTATCTGCTGATCAGTCAGCTGGCATAGACAGGCTTATATAATGAAAGTAGGTGACAAGTAAAATTTGGGGTTATCTAAAGTAACATTAGGGGGTATCTAAAACTAGCCTTGTTGAATTGCAGACATATGTTTGATCCTTTTAAAGTTAACTAGAACACTGACAGGTCAGTAAGGGCCCCGTCTTGTAGCAATATATCCCCCATTTTCATCAAGAATGGTCAGTAAGGGCCCCGTCTTGTAGCAATATATCCCCCATTTTCATCAAGAATGACTCGTTGTTTAATTCCCACAAACATTGCTTCAAAGTGTCATAATGAAATATTCACCAGCAAAAAAATACTAAATTTTACTTTGACCTTTGACCAAGAGACCTTGACCTTAAGTCAGTTGACTCTTTGTTAAATTCCGACCAACTTTGCTTCATAAAGTCATTAAAAAATGTTCATCAGGGAAAAGATACAAAATTTGACCGTGACCTTTGACAGTGACCTTGACCTTTGGTCAATTGACTCCTTGTTTAATTCTGACCAACATTGCTGCATAATGCCATAACAAAATGTTCATCAGGGAAAAGATACAAAATTTAACCTTCACCTTTGACCCAGTGACCTTGACCTTTGGTCAATTGACTGCTTGTTTAAATCTGATCAGTTTTGCTTCATCATGTCATAACAAAATGTTCATCAGTGAAAAGATGCGAAATTTGACCTTGACATTTGAACCTAATGACCTTGACCTATGACCTTGACTTTTTACCTCAATGTGTATTTTTGTGAACTGAACATCTTAACTTAGTTTCATGTACATCGGTCAATAAATACCAAAGTAATCAACCAGAAACAAAATGTGTGGACTGACAGACAGACAGACAGACAGACAGATTACTATAGGGCACCCGTATCTCCGATACGGGGCCCTAATAAACAAATCAATTTGGACATATTTAACACACTAATGAAAAATGTAAAAATAGTTTTCATGCTTAGAATGCCGAATGTTGAGTCTTTGCTGTAAAAAGGGACTCTGCATAAGGACACCATCTGTAATTTGCACTGCTCATGGGTATGCATCTGTGGTGCAAACTATACTACTGCACACTAAAAAAGGTAAACTGCATCCATGAAAGTAACCCTTTGACTCCCCCCATCTTTATCTGCCCCTGTACTTCCCTGCAGTCTCTGATCACTGTTTGTCAGGATATCAAAATGGAAAGATAATAATAATTTCTTACCTCTTGCAATTTCACAGTTGGGAAGTGTTTAGAGGCATCTTTGTGTGGTGGTCCACAGGATGGCTTGTCATGGAGAAATACACGAAGAACTTTTCCAAATGTACAGAACATGCGCCTCAAATGTTCCTTTAAAGAAAATAACTTGTCTGTTATTTACACAAATTTACAAAGCTGTTAAACTGACCTATGGGATGTGACAAAGTCACTTTTAAAGTTGAAGTAAGGACTGAAGCTGAAATAATTATTTTTTTCCATATTCATACAGTATGAGTTGGGAAAATCAAGAGCGCAGGTAGTGCATGGAAGGCTGGTCATGTTTAGTGTGGAAATATGTTGTATCCATTCTTACATTACAACAGTAATATAGTCAGTTTTATAATAAAGCTTCAAATCCATATCATTCAAAATATCGTCAGTTTGTGTGACATATAAATTTAAATAGCTGTGATAATTGAAAGTAAGATTTTTTGTTCAGAATATATGCAAAAGAAGATCACATGTGATTTTTAACCTATGAGCCTATGATAATCCTTGTTTAATACACAAACATCAGTTCTGTCACAGATAACTGATTCATTACAGTAGATTACGTGGTACATTCATGAGAAACAGTTCTTACCTCCTTACAATGGGGGGGGGGTTATGTTCAGTAGAAACTGTTCTTACCTCCTTACAATGGGGGGGGGGTATGTTCAGTAGAAACTGTTCTTACTTCCTTAC